ATCTCTTACTTTTTTGTTTTTAATTTTAACATGAATATGGACACAGATTTTGCTTGAACTGGACTTGGGCTCAGTGGATTAAGTTGTTGTGCCAACTATTACCATGAGATTGGTCACACTGTGTTTGATGTGTGGAATGCCACAAGCTTTTTATGGACACAATTCTGTTCAGAGCCTTAAGAAACCCTTCTCATGTAACATACCAAGCGAGCACAAACAATCAGATAAGGAACTGAGCAAAAACTGCCATTGCTCACAGCAACAGCCACACTGCATCTGTAAAGTCCAGCCTGCATACAGAGGATGCAGAGAGAGGAAAAAAAGTATGCATGCCTCTTATTTCGGTTGTTTTCTAAATTGACCTTACCTGAAATAAAACGTGCAGGAAGTCGATGGCTCTGCAATTGATCTGCACATTGCAATTCATGAACTTCTGATCTGCCATTATTGGATGTGCTCTCAGTGCATGCTCACTTGTTGCTGCCTGACACTTCCAGATTATTGGCTTGTTTCATGCTGAAACTGACTACGCTAGGGCCTTCAATCATCATCTTAAATGAGGAGGTCAGGTGAAAACATGATGCTCATTGCCCAGTTGGTCCCTTCCTCTTAGAGATCATCTTTCCAGGGCTAATCTCTAAATGAATTAGGCTTCAGTTTCATCAAAGCCTACTCATTGTCTTAAAAAAGGATTGAATTCATGAGCTTGTTTATGGGATGCCACTCTCCAGGGTTATCTACATCAAGCAAAAAGAGGACTAAAGGTGAAGAGGTTCCATGTCAGTGCCTGTGAGTCCACGGTTAATTAGAGCATTTTAGGTGACTGTAGGTCAATGTGATGCTGCTTAGTGCACGTTGTTGGGTTTCATGGTGTCAGCTTTGCTGCTGATGGAGACTAATCTTTAACTCCCGACACAATCCTGTTCAATTGCCACCACCATTGATCTTCTGTAATAAGGCAAGAAACTGCAAAGTAAGATGAATCATATGCTGAATTAAAAGTTGGATAAATAGTGGCATTGGCTACTATAAAACTGCAGTGTACAGTACTATGGGCCAATTATACTTTTTTCTTCTTTACTTTTCCTGAGATGGATTTCTTTAAAAGTAACCACGACATCACAGTAGTGTTTTTTGTTCCTGCAGGATTCCACAATTTTTCATAATAGAGTTTAACAATAAATAAAAATAGGTTTTAGCCGGGTGCACACTGTTTTGTGCTTAAGAGCACAGTGCAATTTGCACTGTATTAGTAGTGTCCCAGCTTTTCTGAAATAGTATCTTCTGATATTTCTAGGGCTTTTATTGCTTTTGTGCCACCAACCATTTTAATTGGTTTCAAGTTGTTTAAAAGAAAATGACTATTATGGGTTAAATCATCATTCATTGTTGATTGCTCCTTACAGAAATTAAATCGACCGAGGAGCCTTGGTATCTCATTTGACTTATTAGATGTGATTTGGTTTAAGTGCATTTTGGTTTTGATGCATAAACAGCATTTTGTCTGATTAGATTCAGTCACTCTTTCCCAGTCAGGTTTCTGGTTTGACCTTCAAATGCAGCTTTTTTGCTCCTGACACACAGACCCATTTAATGCAGAGAGAAAATGTCAATAAGGTATACAATAAAATACAGAAGCTATTGGAGATGGCCTGTACTTTCTTTAACTGGTTTTGGTTGCTGTTTGAGAAGGTTGTCAAAACATTTGAAAGCGCTTTGTTTCACAATTGAAAATCTCATTATGTTTTCTTTTTTAAAAAACCTGCATCCCTAGAGTGTTTCCTGTGCGGAGTGTAGCTGTTTTAATGGGGTTGTTTTCTTGTAGGACACATTGGAGAACTAAAAATGTACTACTAAAGACAAATCCCACAGGAACATGAAGCAACATGTTTATTATTAACCTGCTAATATTTATAAGACACACAAGTATAACAAAATCATAGTATTTACATGTATGTGATTAGTGTCACAGTGGAGGAATGGAGAACAAGATGATACTTTTACTGATACTTTCTCTTTCATGGCTAATTTATTAAATGGTTTCATTTAACTGTTATCATGGCCATAAGCTTTTGCATTTGTTCTGAAGCAAAACCAGTCAATTGTTTTAATTTTCCATTTGCACCCATTTCAAACCTCCTGTATGTTCAGTTACACCTCACCTGTCCAGTCAGCTAGAGATTCTGAGGGCTCAGCTGTGTACTCTGAGCTTTTTAGCTCTTTTTTTTCCCACTTTTGGAGGTGAGATCGTGCCATTGGCTGCAGTCTGTGAATAGGGACAGTAGTTACAGTAATCCTGCACTCAGGGTGTGTCTGCACTCTCTCTGTGGTTCTGTTGCTGCAGATTTAGAGATGTCAAGCGTTGAAGAGCATAGTGTGCGAGACCTTTCCTGTTCCTGGGCATGGAGGAGGGGAACCCTAAGTATCCCACATTCCCTGAGGGTGTGTCCCCGGACTATTGTTTCACTTTTTCTCCTCCTTTCCTCTTACAGCATTTGCAGTTTCTGAAAACACGAGTTTAATGTGGCTGTAATATTTAAAGAGTTCGGCGTGTGAGTGTGAGATGAATGCATGTCTTGTGCTTGATGCATGCCGCTTGAGGAGTCCGAGTTCATCTGAGAACTTGACTGCTTTTAAAAATGTTTTGATCAGTATTTTTTTTTAATATTACAGCTTTAGACTTCAGTAAAGAAGACCATGCTTTTTGCTGGTGCCTCTATGTATTTCTTATTAAAGACTTTTTTTAATTGAAATCCATCCCCCCAAGTCTCAAAACAACCATAACAAAGCGTCAATGCTAACGCTAGGACCGTTCACTTACCTCAGTGGAAATGCATTCACTCTACTAATCAATGACCAAAGAGAAACTCTGGGGCTGTTCAGTTTTTAATAGCCATCTCTGTTTCTGTTAGGTTGCCTGTACAGAGCTGTAGGATTCCAATATATGTGTGGTCATTTTATGTAGGCATATGGCTTTTGGTGCTAGCTGAAGCAGGAAATTCAAGCAGCGTAACTGAATTAGTAATGCCTTATTGGTCTGTGCACTCAGGCCCATCTGTACATTACAAAAAAACAACCTTCTGGCAGATCCAGGCACTTTCATATTCCCAGTTTATACAACAGTCACTGGTGTTCTTTCAAATAATTACAGTTTTCAGACTTCAGAGTTGTCAGTTTAATAGACACTTTTCGCTGATGTGAACTGTGGAGATTCTAAGATGAAAATGATTAAACTCTGAAATGTGCATGAACATGTCAGGACCTGTTAGAGAGTACAGCATATTATCTCTCATTTCCACATACAAAATCTGATCTATACATTCATTTCGCTTTAACAAGAAGAATTGAAAGTTTCTAGGTTTTGTCTACCCTGTACTTCTACTGATCCAAAGAAAATTACTTCTATTTCTCTTCCTCAAGCCCACTTTAAAGCCAGATCCCTAACAGGGATTATGAACAACGGATAATAAAACAGAAAAAGTTGATACTGACAAACTCATGTGACCGATGCTTCATGTTATCGGTAACAACATATAGGAATACGAAAGGTGGAATCTACATCTGGAAAAGATCAGTGCTGTGATAATTTCTGCAGTGCAGTCTTAGGTTGTTTGCTTATGCATGTTTGTATGTACAGTACACACATCTCTCTGAAGTTTCACAATGTTTTGCACTACACAACAGAAGAACCGCATTGGGAAATGATAATACTGTGCCTTGTTGATCTTTCCACAGGCACATCAGTTGCTGTTAGGTTCTCTTAAGTGGAGTAAGTCAGCCAGTAAAGACACTCACTCATAGGTAGATTGACCTCTATGATCCAGAAGTCCTGCGTTCAGGCCCAGGTCATGGCACGAACCAGTGACTAGGATTCCCCAAGGAGCAGTACATAATTGCATATGAGATGCCTCTTTAAGAAAATGAAAAACAACAGGCCCTCTCTGTCCCTGCTGGGATGTGAACTTCGTTTTTCGTGGGCTCTGAGCGCTGTAAGACCAGGTCCTCCTGTCTCTGCAGAGTTCAGAGGCTGGTGACATCACTTCCGTGTAACCCGCTCGTCCTCGTCCGCTCGTAACGCGCGACTCCTGTTACATACTGAGCACAGCTCTTTCCCTGTATTGTCACACTTGCCTTGCCTTATTGCTATACCATTGAAATGTTACCTATGCACAGGATGCTTAGGCCATGTCTCTGTGCGCAGTGCACGTAGTAGTTATTTTAAAACCTTCAGCTGCAGCAGCTCAAGCTCTTCACCTTGGAAATTCATTGTAACCACTGAACCACTTTTCTCTACAAAGAGTGTTTCAGTCCTTTTATTATTTTTTTGTCCGTCCTCCACTTTAATTAATATTTGGGAGCCAGACTGAAAGCAGAAGAGCTACTTCGTGATATGGTTGGAATGTAGTAAATGACGGTCAGTACACTTCATTGATTGTGGGATTGCAGTGCAGCAGTTTAGAGTACCGGTAATAAGTGTACTGTGTGGGGTTAGATTATGATGAAGGCGATTGGGATTTCACTGGAGGTAATCATTACACTGACTTACAAGAAAGGAATGTCTCACTGTCACATTTCTGTGTATGCTCCATATGAGGAAAAGCCCTCACTGAGGTCTTCAGGAACTCCACCATCTCCCTACTTTTTCTATGCAAGCCTGTTGTTTACTAGAATAGGTTCTTGTGCTCAAGTGGAAAACTGATTTAGTGATTTCATTTATTTCTGACAAAAGATGTGGTTAAGTAATTCTCATAAATTGCACCTTGTGGAGAGTCTATTATATAGTGTGTTTTAAATTTAAGTAAAAGAAAAAACAGGATTAGCCTCACAGTGTCAACTCATACTTTGTTAATGTTAAAGTAGCCTTTGAACATTTGCGTGTATGTGTGTGTAAATCTTTGGCCTACAATAGTTTTTTTTTTCCTTGTCTTCAGAGCCTGTTTTGAGAAATGTAGTTGTCTCATGTTTTGAACTGACACGTGAATGTTCCTTTGTCTTGCCAGCACACAAAGAACGGGCCTGACTGCCTAAAACAATCTGGAGGAAAGACAATACCTGCAACTGAATTTCTGAAGGCACAAATAGGTAAGAAGCACATTTTGCAAGTAAAATAAAATATTTGGTTTTGCTCTCATTGCAATATTGGATTCACTTGAATTTTGAGCATTGCACCTTGCTAAAATGACTATTCTTTCTCAATTAACCTGCAGAGAAATAATAAATATATGATCTGTTATTATAAATACCATTTTATTTTGTTGCTGTGTGTTTTTTAGACTAATGTGATAGTGCCTTTTTAACATTTGTTAATTATAAATTGCATGTAAATGCAATTATACCTAATTCACAAAGCCTTTCCCAAACAAATCATTAATATTGATCAGTTGTTCATTTGGTCAGGTTGATGTCATGAATAGCAAACAGTTGATCAATATTTTGGGTGTCTGGCATGTGTTTGCTAAGCACCAGTCTCAGCAAAGTTGTGGTGCTGAATTTCTCTGTCAATTTCTCTCTGTTTGATGGCTATTAGCAAATCTTGTCCTGTTTCAAAATGCTTTGTCGATTATAGAATCAGGTGGTTACCCCATTACTGGACGTGGTCAGTAATGGGACAGGAGACCTCCAAGAAAAAACAGGATCTTGCATTAGTGGTGTTGGTGGACCTCTGGACCAGATATCCAGTCTAGTGCAGCACTGTAGGAGGGTCTGATGTTAAACCGAGGCCCTGATCTATTGCCCATTAAATGATCCGCGGCATTATTGCATAGAGTAGAAGTGTTATACCTGATGTCCTCTGGCCTTCCAGTCTGGCCTCTTCTGGACGTTTTCCCCAAATTGATTAGTGGAATAATTTCTCACTCGTCCTCCTGATCTGTGTATTGGGAATACTGCACTTCACAGTTGGATGAAATGGGATCCTCCTGTACATACAGTATATAACTATTTGGATTTTTGGTGTTTGTCTGGGTTTATCTCTAATTAAGTCAGTATTCCCACCACCAGTTTCATGCGCATACTTGTTGTCTTGATTTCCATTTATGTTACCTTGCTGGTTGTAGGAATGCTTTAGGAAGGGTTGGGAATTGCTCTTTCCTTTAATGTGAATGTATTTTGAAGCTGTTGTTTCTCTGCGCTGCATAGAAAACAGTTCCTTGAGGGAAAACATTCCATGTTATAAACTAAAAACCAATCTAATAAATGAATAACGGAGTCTTTGTCGAAGTCACTGTCACAGTACTCTGGTGTGATGGCTTGAGTCTTGTAACAATGAGACTTCATTACCTTTGCAAACTGTTGCATAAAAGCTCATAGGAGAAATGTAGGATATAGAAGTCTCTCTCCGAAGTAGTTTATCGTCCTCTGAAGCATCTGTTCAGTATGTTAATGGAGCTTTGTAAGAGCTAGATGTAGTTCTTTTGAGATGCAAATTGATGCAGATGTATTTACTTTGCTTTTGTTTGCTTTAATTGAGCAGTTGCGTCTCAATGAATTGCTTCTGCTGTGTTCCGCGGAATTCTTTATTTTCTTAAGCGCAAGAATGCGGTAAGAGTAGGATTTTACTACAGTGCAGTATCTTCCCCATGACTTAAACTGTCCTGGTACCTGAATCTAGCATCTTCCACACAGAAATGCATGTGAGCTGCAGTTGACTTTGAATAACATTGGGAGAGTTTCTGCAAACTTGCTTCTTAAGCTCAGCTCTCTGGCAGGCTAGCCTGGCGCACGCCTGTAGGTTGTGTCTCTTGCTTCCTGCTCACGTTTCTCCTGTTGCAGCTCGGCCCCAGGGAGGGACCTGGCCTGCAGCGGGTTCATGCGAGCGGCTGGAAGAGCTCTGCACCTGACCGTCGCTGCCCCAGCCCGAGCCGACCCGAGCCGCGATGTCCTCCAGCGCCGAGGCGGAGCTGCAGATGGACTCGGAGCACCAGACCGAGCTGGCCGACCGGGTGGCGGCCATCAACGTCACGGCGGAAAAGGAGGCCACCCCTAACGGGAGGAGGGTGAACGGGATGAATAACAGCGCGCTGGGCGGCACCCCGGTTCCGTCAGTCCCCAAGAAGGCCCCCCAGCGGCCCATCCTGTCCAACAGGAAGCTGTCCCTGCAGGAGCGCTCTTCTGGAAATTACCTGGCTGCGGCCGGCGCGGGCTATGGCCCATATGCCACGGGGCAGCCCACCCATATCTCCCCACGAGTAGTGCGCCGACCTACCATCGAGTCCAAGCGTGTCTCCATCTCTGATGCGCAGGTGAGGAGGAGTGGAGGCGAGAGAGACGCGTGTCCTAGGTTAGAGTTTAGGTTTCCCTGCGGAATGGGATTCCCAGTTCTAGTTCTCATCATACTGGGATGAGTCATCTGCTTTACAGACTACTTTATTCAGCTTAATATTCATTCATAAATTATGAGATAAAAGCGTCCCATTTAGACTTTATTGTAGAATAAACCAGTCCTCTCCACATTTACCTAACATTTGCTTGGGTGTGTCATTTTGTTTGGCAGTGCTGGTCTTAGTTTGATCTTGAACCGTGTTTTTCTTTTGGATTATTGCCATTGCTGTACAACTGTGCACTGGAAAGATTTTAACAATCCACTTGTTTTGTTCTGTACACATCTGGCTAAAATAGAAAGGAATTGCACAGTTTTAAGTTCTTCTGCTCAAGAAGTGCAAAAGATGACAAGTTAATGACAAATGGCAGAGACCGTAGCAGGAGCAGGTCTCTGGGCTAGGGATGACAAGAAAGTGCATGCAGAGGTTTAGCTCTTCTTGAGGTGCGGGTATCAAACAATGACTCCAATTAAATAGGTGACACTGCTTTTCATCACGGTATGTCAGTTCATACTGACCCTAAGAAATTTGGAAAAATCATTCTTGTTGGGCTGCTTCCTTGTGTTGAACCGCTACTTAACTGCTTGGCTTTTTGTCAGTTACCAACTGAGATGGCGTGACAGAGCTCAGATTCTACAAAATGATTGATGGCTTTCTTTCTCATAATATACCTATGGTTTTCTGTATAATTGCCCTCTTTTAGAACACAATCTGGCTCTGTGAGTTATGCGCTAATTGCTTTCACTTTTTGTTGCTTGCAGTTCTTTTAAACAATTTTAAAACAATTATTACTCAGTCTCCTTTACATTTCTGAATGTAGTAGCTCAATGTAAACTTTTCAGTAACAAATAAAATGGTAATTACTTTGTCCTCAGGTTAGTGTGAAAAGGGATTTGAGATGAGAGATTCAGTGATATAGCCACCTTTCCTGTGTTTGATCATCAGAAAAGCCCAGAACAAGTTAAAAAGCTATATGAGTCATCTTGCTGTACAATTAAATTTGAGTTTGAAGCTAATTAAAAGGCTTTGTCAGCTCTGTGTTCAAAGATGGAGACAGGTCAACAGAGAAATCAACAGCAAAAGGGGATCCCAATAACAGCATTATCTAAAGATTATTTGCTGGTTTATGAAGGCTAATAAATAAATTGAAAATCCTTTCCTTTGAGCACAATTACTCTTCCATGAATGCTTTGATATTCTTGTGTAATATGGGATTGTCTCATATTTGTATGCATTTCATCATCATCATAATCGACTGGCCCTGAAAAAGGCGACTGGATTATTACAGAAGAGCAAGAAATCCTGTGAACGAGCCCCTTTCATATTTTAAATGATGCATGTTGATCCCCAGCTCCACAGGAGGAATTCCAACAGCGTATTAGAAGAAAAACACTACAAGCCCTGAATTCTATTAGTAGTGATGTGAGTGCTATCAGCAGTCAGTCCGGCTTCACAGTTCGCTTTAGGCTGTAATAAAGGTCTGCTCCTTTGTTATACAATGCTGTTCTTTCCTTCTCTTTCCTACCTTAAGTACAGTCTCTTCTTTGACTGCTCAAAAGATTGCTAGCAGAACTCACTAATCTTTTCAAGTGACACTTAAATCTTACAGCTTCTTCAGGAGAAAGCACAGGTTTTCCAAAGATGGCTCTCAGAGTCTCAATCTCTCTAATGCCGTCACTTATGGTGTTTTGCGGCGAGCGCTTTGTGAAACTGCTCGTTCCATATATGGCCTAACAAGCTCCTGCTGCTCCCAGTGCAGTCGGCAAGGACACAGCTAGCCCTGAGGTTTCCATTTCACCTTCAGTAGCTCTCCTTTGCCAATGCTGGTGTCATCTGAGACCAGCTGTTTCTTTCTGTAAGGAGGAAAGCGAATTTGTGTTTGGACAGCATAGGAAGTTATTGGTACTTCTTTGTAACTATCACTTCTGAATCAGAGCCATAGACACATAACGTTATCCCATACACAGCAGAAATATCACAGGATTCACGGAAGTGAAAGGAGTTTCAGAAACACTTGAACAAATTATTTATTACCCGTCATAAATCAGCAAATCATCTTGCTTCAGATAATGTTGTTATTGAGATTCCTTTTTCTATTGACGTGTTTTTATCTTTAAACATAAATTATTTGTTATTTTTGATATTAATTTGCAGAACATTTTCATCCAGACTGTCGGAGTAATGTAGCGAAACAGAAATACGCCTGCCACAGAGTCAACAAAACAACAAATTAACTTCTTTCTGGTGTTCAGCCTTAATGGCTGAATTATCCGAATATTTTTACTGGAATGGATAGCAAATGTTTGATGAGAGAGTCTAACAGAATGGCTGCTATTTTTAAAACATCAAATTCATATTTTGCCATTTTGTGTAGAAAATGGAGCTGGACAGCTTTCTGATGTTGACTAATTTGCCTAAATGGAGGAGACTGGCATGAGATGAATGACCCATCATGGATTGCGACATTCAAACAGTTTTAACTGTTGTAATTTACCCCCCACCTCCTGTCTGCCAACTATGAGCCTGACAGCTCCCATCACCTGCAGGAGCTGTTCGAAGATCTGGGTCAAGGCAGATGTTTTCAGTGATGAGCCCAACAGAGGATGAAATCTCCTCCAGGCTACTTTGCCAGCAAGACATGTTACGCTCAGATCAGTGTAGAAGTAACAGAACAGTGCGCCATTCTGGGTTGTATTGAGGAATGCCGCTGATCTGAAGACCTTTTTTTATTATTGCCGTGTGTAATAAATTAATAAATTAAAAGGGCTTTTGTAAGCCATGCTGGATTGGCAATGGTGAACATCAAAGCACAGAGTATTAACATATAGATATAAACCAGTGATCTGATTTTTTTCAGAAAGTATTTGAACCGTAACCGGGATGCCTAATTGCTGTACACACGTGCCTGCATGATTAGAATTAAATAATATACATCAATATGGTCTTTGAGATTCTGCAAATTTTAAATTACCATATTTTAAAATTTAGCTCAGATCTAGTGCATTTTTGTTTCTATTTGATACTTGCTCTGAATCTAGTGTTGCTTTGCTTGCTTGCAGTCCTAATGCACCAGAGAGTTCTTCTTCTAAGAAGAAGGATGGGAAGGTTGTGTGCATCCAGTAAACTTGTGTGATGAGAATTCAGTTTTTGGTCCTTCACCTCCTTTTCAGAAGGTCTTTTACTGTAATACATTACTGATCTTCTATTTGAAAGGACCTTATCCTTCAGTAAGTGTGGAAAAACAGAGAAGACTTGAAACCTCTAGAAATGTGTCTGTTTGAATTGATGATTATGACAAGAATGCAGTGTAGCTAGTATTTGCCAGCTGTCAGCGGTGCTCTGAATTGGGGCTTTCACTGTAGCAGAAACCAGAAGCCACCTGTGACACACTTTGCAGATGCTATCTAGAACTAAGGTTATTACAAAATGCTTTTATTCCAGACAAATCCAGACACGTTCTGAGTTTAACAGTATGAATCTTTGAAGTAAATTGTACAAACCACTCAAAGCCCTCTTAATAAAAATTTCCAGTACTATTTTAAGCTGTGTTACATAATGTGGATGTAGGTTTTAAGGCTGTTGGCGTTTTTTAAATTTTTTTAGATTGATAATTTTATGCAGAATTAGCTGAGTGAAGTGTGGTGGCTATTAAAGTTATTTTGTGATCTTGTTTAATTTCATATGTATTTGTTTTTCCTACAGTCAAATAGACATTGTCTCCTGTTCATGAGTGAAACAATTGCAGACAGAGATTTTCTTACAGCAGAAGATTTATAATGAAATGCATCATTAAATAAGAACAAGTTAGCCCCAAGTATGATGTTTAAGGAGATTAAGACTGGGGTTTAGCCTGCACCCACACTGCTTATAATTCGATACAAAAAACTTTAAGTGTGAAAAGCTGGAAACCAAAAATGTTTTAGCATCTGCCTGCATTGTAAATAGTGAAAAAGGAGGAAGCAGAAAATTAGTTTTCACTTTTTGCAGTTTATAGACAGTTTGAAAGTAAGATTGAGACTGTGGAATTTGTGTCATTCATTACCGTAGAATGCAAGGAGGGCAGCTTAGGAAGTGGACGAGAGTCTTGCAAAATGTTTTGGTTGTGTTGCACGTTTTTCATGGCTGAGGAGACAGTGTGCTGTCTTTAACATTCTGAGTCCTACACCTGTGCTTTGATGGGGCTCCCTAGTACCCTATGAATTGCACTGCATGTATGTACAGTATGGTGTCTGTGCACTTCAAGAGGATCTGTACAAACCTCTCACATCAACTAGTTCTCTTTCATGAAATGCAAAAAATGTAGAATCCTCTTCAGTGATGCTTTCTGTTCTGGGTTTTAGAGCTGGCGAGACCTCCTGCATTCACATCACCTTACAAATAGGAATCTATTTAGTTGTATGTGCTGGCAGGGTTTAGGTAATAGCAGAAGGGCAAAAGATGTCTGAGGGCATATTTGCACAGCCACTTGGATTCTAGTTCTGTCCAGGAAAAAAACGTGAACAGTCCAGCTTGGCACAAGACACTTGGAGAGATGGAGAAGGAAACTGAAGAAATGTATGCCAAATGGGATGGAATATAAGTTTTCCTTGGCGTTCCCAGCTAGTTTGGAAAAAA